CAAAGACAGCTATCACGAGGTGCTCAGCAGGCTGACTGAGAACCCCAACAAGCGTGGGACATCAGCCAGACAAAGTCATTTAAAAATGTAAGTGCTCATGAAATACTTGTACAAAGCACTGTATATACTCATGTATGGTTCTCTGCACAGATATATACAGTAGCTTGCAAAAGTATTCAAAACCAACCACCCCCCCCCGGCATTTTTTTCTATTTTGTTGCATAACCCGCTGGAAATAAAATGGATTTTATTTGGATTGCATGTAATGGACATACACAAAATAGTCCAAAATGGTGGAGTGAAATCAAGAAAATAACTTGTTTTAAAAATATATAAAAAACAGAAAAGTGATGCGTGCATATGTATTTTACCAGTTTGCTATGAAGCAAGGAGCACCATGAAGTCAATTGTATCACAATAAATAATATTTTGATTTGTCAAAGTGGTAGGCATGTTGTGTAAATCAAATGATTCAGCCCCCCCAAAAAATCAATTTCAATTCCAAGTGGTAGTGCAACAAAATAGGGAAAATGCAGAGGGGTGAATACTTTCAAGCCAGCGTGTGTGTGGAGAGAGAGATTGGTAATTATAAAACTGTGAGCATCCCCTTTCAACAGTCTTTGGACTTAACATACTGTATCTTGCTCTCCTGATATCAAGTCTGTGAAAAGTCGATCTCATACGAAAATCGTCCGATAATCGTAAGGTGTATGGGCACCTTTACACTTTGATCTTGTCAGTGCCACACTCCTCACCATTTTCCTTGGAGGACCTCTGGGGGTACTGTTATAAGAGATTAATGAAGGCTTGCATTACTGAATACTACTTGAGAGTATCCCTGGCTATCATTCTGATGCTTTGATGTCCATGTTTTCTGAATTGCTGACCCAGGACAAGTATAGAAATTAGTAGTTTTGGCACTTTTCTTATATTCATTTAAATAGTTATTCAGGTTAAAAAAAGACACAAGTCTATCAAGTTCAACCTATAGAGATAAGAGGAAAAAAAAAGAAAAACCTAAAACTGATCCAGATATAATAAAATAAAACCCTATTAACCGCTTGCTGACCAGGTGTTTAGACCCCCTTCCTGGCCAGGCCATTTTGCAGTATTCAGCGCTGCGGTACTTTGACTGACATTTATTCCGTCATGCAACGCTGTACTGAAATTAATTTTATACCATTTTTTTTGGACAGATAGAGCTTTCTTTTGGTGGTATTTAATCACCACTGGGGGTTTTATTTTTTACTATATTCAGGAGAAATTACTGAAAATTTTGAAGAAAAAACGTTTTTTTAACATTATGTTATAAAACAGCTAATATTACCCACTTTTTTGGTAAAATATAAAAGACGGGGTCACGTCGGGTAAATAGACACCAAACATGTCAAGCTTAAAAATTGCGCGCACTCGCGAAATCGCAAAAAACTAGCATACCCAAAATTGACCATAGGCGACGCTTTAAAAGCTTTTACCGCTCATCAGTTTAGTGTTATCAGTGATTGATGGCCCGACGTTCGCGGCGATATGTAGCATGTGCGGCGCAATCATCGTTTTCGCAGGTATGCGCACCTGATGCATGTTTGCATCCGTGTATGTAGGGGTGGGGACTTTAAAAACATTTTTTTTAAATTCTTTTTATGTGTAACTTAAACATTTTTTGGGGGGAAACTTTACATTTTTTTCCAATTTTTTTTCCACTTAACTTTATTGCTATCACAGAGGGGGCTAAGAAACCCCTATATGTGATAGCAAAAGAGGTGACAGGTCGTATTTATGGAGACATCAGGGGTCTCCCGCTGAAGAAGCTGATGAAGCAGAGATCTGCTTCATCAGCTTCTCTCCAGCATCTGAAGCTGGAGAGTGACGCGAGAATGCGGAAGTGCTGTAATATACACCACTTCCGCATTCTGACAGCGGAGAGGGGACTGGAGGGAGATCGTGAACCGACGTCCCTCTAATCCCCTCTCGGAGAGCCACTATGCTGGCCCCGGGCTCGCACCGGGAGGGCGGGAGCCGCGGAGGGGGGGCGCACATATCGGGACCCCCATACAAGCGATCCGCCGGCTCTATAGCCGGCGGATCGCTTGTATGTTAACAGGCAAGGTTTTTAAATTATGCGTCTTTCCTGCTCGCGCGCACGAGTGGGCGGGACTAACAGGACGTGTATACACGCCCAGTTACATCCAAGAAGCTCCCGGCCGGCCGGCCGTGTATGCAAAACGCTCCAAAAGGGGAAAAAATTCCTTCCTGATCCTATAAGGCAATCGGATATTCCCTGGATCAACAATATTTGGTGCTTAACTACTTCCGGGCCGCAATACGTTTATATACGGCGCCCCGCAGAAGTCGTTAGAACAAGAACACGGCTGCCGGATCGTTTGTACCAAGCTCTGCTGTCACCTCTAAATAATTTGGCACCAAGCTGACTATATGGACCATTTATGTATTTATACATGCTGATCATGTCCCCCATTAATCGCCTCTTCTCCAGAGAGAACAAATTCAGGTCAGTTAATCCCTCCTCATAGCTGAGCTCCTCCATGCCTTTTATGAGTTTGGTCGCTCTTCGCTGCACTTTCTCAAGTTCCACAACATCCTTTTTGTGAACCGGTGCCCAAAACTGAGCTGCGTATTCCAGATGAGGTCTTACTAATGCTTTGTACGGGGGCAGGATTATGTCTCTATCTCTGGAGTCTAGACCCCTCTTAATACAAGAAAGTATATTGCTTGCTTTAGAAACTGCGGCTTGACAATGCATGCTATTATTCAGTATGATCTACCAGAACACCCAATTCTTTCTCCATCATTGACTCCCCCAAACATACTCCCCCTAGAGTGTATGAAGCATGCATGTTTTTAGTCCCCAAGTGCATAGCTTTACATTTATCAAACCTCATTTGCCAAATAGATGCCCAATCACATAGTGCGTGCAGATCTACTTGTAGGTTGGAGACATCCTGTAGGGACTGTATTCCACTACATAACTTGGTGTCATCTGCAAACACAGAAATAGTACTTTTAATCCCCAACTTTATTTAATTTAAAGCATGTAGTTCTGAGACTGACTGAAGCATAAAACATATAGCAATTTTAGAAGTAGGCCTGCAATGGCAAAATGCTAAATGCCTGGCTCCAATGCAGATCACGAGAGCTGATTTCACCTGCTGTTTGTTTGACCCAGCCTGTGACACAAAGTGCTAAAGTTAGAGGAAGATTATGACAGACAAGGGACTAGCGTTCTCAGAAGGAGGTCAACAGCAGCAACACCTGTATTCCCCTCAGCCCACTTGTTCATTCCATAACCCATGTTGTCATTCATTTTTTCATTTTTAGATGTGCTATGCGGCACATTGCATTCAAGATACTATTCAGTTGACTTTAATGAAGGGGGAAATGCATCCAAAAATGCAGCTTGTCTGTTTTTTTGTTTTGGCACAGCATGCCATAATGTGAAAACTGCTCTATTAGAGATCATTACTTTCTGAATTGTCCTGCATTTTATCCAGCAGCTTCTTTGAGCCTTTATTGCATCACCATTGAATAGGGACATTATATCCGGTCTTGTCAACCAGAGAAAAAGAAGGAAGAAATAAAGGAAAGAACTGCTGACACTCACCTGACAACCTGGTTTCTGTGGGCTGTGAGTGGGAGCAATCCCTGGCAGGCAGATTCTGAAGAATGTAAACTTGAGTGGGAGAGGCTTTGGTTCAGTAATTATCCAGGTTCAACTTGTCATTACAACTTTATTTTTTCTGTTTGAGATTTATGTGCTTCTCGTTTTTTTCATTTTGAACTTTCTGGTTACCTAACAAACCATTGAATATTGATCATCTGATAGCGGCATACCAGAAGTAAGGCTATGAGTGTGCACATTATACATCGGATATTTTACAGGGCTGCTTAAAGAAAACCTAAAACATTCAGGCTGCCATTGCTAACCTCTCCTTTTTAAAATGGTAGCTGCCTAGCAGTGTTATTTTCATCCTTCGGCTTCAGTACTTTCAGCCACTGAACTGAAACAAATATGCAGATTAGTTTTCCTGATCAGCTGACTTCACTTACTTTCAGATCAATAATTTGAAAAGCATTAGGAAGAGAGAGGCAACTAATATTTTAAAAAGGTTGACAATGGCAGCTTACAACTTTCTGTTACTAAGGGCCCGTTCACTCTATTTAGGTCCCCACACAGCACCATGGTGTGCTGCAGTGCACTGCAAAAGAATGCATCATGTCTGAATTTTTTGCAGCACACCGCAGATTAAACCCACGTTGTGGTGTGAACAGGGCACATAAACCGCTGTTTTCTGTGTCTCCAAGCAGTGACAGGTGTTGCTCAGGTGCTGAAAAACGCCAGTCACCACATCTAGTATGATTGGGTCTTAAGGTTTTCTTTAATCATAGAAAAACAACGTCAGATGTTGATGATGCATTTAAACCTGATTCTAATAGCATATAAAGTACAGTTTGTGTCAAATTGTCTCTCTTGGTTAATTTTCTTTTACACATACCAGTATTCATTTTCCTCTTGTTGACCTTCTATCTGGCCAATTCCCAGTTGTAAACATGCTCAGTCCAATTTTGTGACATCACTGAGCTTGATTGAATCAAATTTTTGCCTTGGACCCAACAGCACAGACAAATGGTGGTATTTAAAGTGACAGTAAAAACAGGAGTTAAATCTTAAAAATGCATTCAAGTACCCTAACTATTAACAAAAATGTAGCGTATTTGTGTATCACTCAGCTGTAGATCTTCAAATCATCTCTGTTAAACCTCATTGTACACACATAGGCCGAGAGGGGACCAAGCAAAGACACTAAAGTAAAATGTGCCAACTCCCTCTTTTATATGTTATTGATTTTTCTGGGGTAAAAAAATGATGGAACACGAAGTTATAAAACATAAACTGTCTGTTTTCTAGCAGCTTATCTGACTAAACGCAGTATGTAAGTATGAGATCTTTGCATCCACTAAAGGGTTGTCATTTCACATTACAGATACAAGGTAACGTACCATTACAGAAGGAGTTTTGGATATATGTAACAGATGCCACCCTTCAGGTGACGCCAGAGACATCTAGAATCCCTAAAATTCTCCCAGTGTGTGTCTTACCTTCTTGTGCAGTGGATAGTAGGGTGCTAGAGGCCCTTGCCAAAAGCATTTCCTGCAAGATGCTTTTTAAAGATGCAGTAAAAGAGAATGGTAAGTTACCAGAGTACCATATTATCTTTTCAAAACTAGTGTATGAGTGGATTTGAATAAGAGACAAAATGATCTGCTGGAGCAGCTGGTGGGGTTCTTGCTATAGGATTATTGTGGATTCTTTTATACAACATCAACACCAATTTTGAAATTCAGGGTAAGGGGCCTTTTGTGATGTTTCTGTAATCTACTATATAGTGGAGATAAGAGATTTAAGTAATGACTTGTTTCAAAATGTAATATAGTATAGACAATATTCTGCCTGTTTTGTTTGCTTTGCGCTGTGCTTTAGATTTCTTTTTTATTTCTGTGGAAAAATTCATTCATTTAGTTACATGAATCAGTTACTACTCTTATGGATGATTGTACGGCTCACATTTTGTTTTTATCTTCTTTTTTTTGGCAGGCAAGATAATTTGTGTAGAACGCACAGTGCTTTCATTACAAAAGCCCCTTTTATCCCATACTTCTGGCGTTAACGAGCTGACATGTCCTGTTACACTGGACGAACTGGATTCTGCAAGTGAGGCAAACTCTCTGTGCATTGTGACAGGTTGGTACTGGGAGAAAAATGACAGACACATGTCATTAAACACTTTGAGTCAGATAAGTCCTGTGAAAGAACGCTGTCACTACACTGACTGCAACATGTCAGTACAAATTAGGCAGCATCTAAAAACGAAACAATGTTATTCCTAATATTTAATCACAAAATGATAGGTGTGTCATTTGATATGCCTAACAGTTCTAATAACGTTATTTAATATGAACCGTGAATATGTATATTGGAGGCAAAAGTGATCATCAGATGTTACAAAGGTATTTTGGTATATTTCAAACTCCCAGACACGTCTTCAGATGCCTAAAGATGCTGCAGCATTTTCCCAGCTGGCTGGCATCTGTGTTTAATATTGTGTGAAACCTGCAATCAAGAACAGTTATATAAATTGTATTAGGACAGTGTTTACAGCGTGGTGCCAATTACCACACTTAGAAATCACATTGTTGCTTACTGAAAAATCTGTTCCACTTCATACTGCACAAAGGTAATTAGCTTCAGTCATATTAAAACTGCTTAAACCTTAGGCAAGAGAGTTGGCAGTAAAAAAGAATGCTAAATCTGAACTGCATTGTTTTTTACTGCACGCTCTGAGCTTGTGTATTCTGCAGGAAGGAATGATGATGAAAGTATCCCTCTGTAGCCAGCCTTGTACTGCTAAAGTCGGGTACGCATACAGCAAATTTTGGCCAAATCCTGCTAAAATTTGCTCTGTTGGTGACCCTATTCCCTCAGCAGAACTGTGTCATTAGATCAATTTTTGCTAAAGGTACATGTTGCAAAATTTTCAGGTGAACAGTGCTTGCAGCCAATCAGCCACAAGCACCATTGGGTATTATGTCAGAATACAATTGAAGCAGGGAGGAATTTGTCCATCCACACTGTTCAGGGCGGTAGATGGAGTAGTCATTTTATATTTTTTCTTTCAGCCCATAGGTTGAACGAAGAAAATGTATGTATGTATATAGTACATTAGGCTAGGTTCCCATTTGTTTTTATAAGAACAAGTGCATTATTACTTATGGCGTGCTGGACAACACAGTGAAGGGAATTTATCAAAACTGGAGCAGAGACAATCTGCAGCAGCTGTGCATGGCAACCAATCAGCTTCTCTCTTTCATTTTCTAATCTTAACTGAAGAGAGAAGCTGATTGGTTGTCACAGCTGCTCCAGATTTTATCTGCTTTGATAATGCCCCCCCCCAGTATCTTCAATATCACCAAAATACCAGATATTAGTGCCTGTTCACACGACGTCCGTTTTCTGTGCTGACCTGATCCGTACGCTCCTGCACTAAAAATGCATCCCAATGTACCCTATGTGTTTTATGGGCTACAGTTCTCACGTGCGCAGTCCGTTCAGGTTACGACAGAAAAATACTGCATGTCACATTTTGTACGGTGAGGAAACGGTCCGGAAACTCAAAACGCGCCAAAAACGCACTGCACTTCAGCTAACATACTGACAGCCCCACTCCAGCAACAACAAAAAAAAAAGAATTTTTTTTTAAAAACTGAAACGCATCAAAAACGCGGCAAAAACACATAGCACTGCGTCTGCAGATCCGGACCTGATCAGGACCTGAAACTCATGTGAACAGGCCCTTAGGGTCTGAGTAATCCTGCTGCTGATCTGTTTAAAACCTGCCCTCTTTGGGTTAAATATTAAACACTTTTGTGGTTTCAAAACTGAAGTAAAAACACCAGATAGTCAACAGTTACTAACAAATTAGTCATTTTACTTTTTTAAGCGTTGCAAAAGAAAAAAAGTTTGCATGTCCATCAACCCTTGGATATGCAGGAGTTGGCAAGGTCAATAAAGCAATATGTTTCTCCCCAGGTTGTCTGGGCTGATGTTACAAGATAACACAAAGGTCACTCTGGTTGTACCCATTTTGAATCCTTATCTGCAGTGTCTGGTCAAGGTACAGGGCTGAGAGCTCCGACTTTGTGCTGCTTTTTGTTTTAGTGCTAAGAGATTTAATAAAATGATTTGAAATCTCTGAAGGGAGGGCAAAGGCAGCAGGAACTTTAAAAGTAAAAGTGAAGTTGGCTTTGTTTCATTGTGCACTATAACACTGCCATCTTGCTTTCCTGTGTGTCGTGTGACTGACTTACACCTGAAATTGTCAGTGTGCTGGTTATTTGTGAAAATTTTGTAGTCTTAAGGTGCCCATACACTACTCGATTCTCGTACGAGAATCGCGGGAAATCACGCGATCGTACGAGAATCGAGCAGTGTGAACGAAGACATGCGACCGTTTCTACTGTACGGTCGCACGTCTTTTGTCGAACCAACATGCTCGAAAACCCGCCGAGAATCCTGTACGATCTGCCCGTCCAAGGTGGGCAGATCGTACGAGCTTTCAATAAGCATACGACCATCGCAAGACAAAAGTCTTGCGATGGTCGTAAGGTGTATGGGCACCTTTAGTCTTTGACATTATTACTGATCTATAGAAGTTTTGTGGTGATGGCCTTCAAACCTGGAGAAAGTCTGCCCAAAGTAACCTTTGATTTATTTACAGCGATACGTTATATCTAAATATGTGTCTGTCATTGTTAAACTGTGTCACAAAGCATGTTTCCTCAGTCAAGCGTCCAATTAAGCGTCCAATTTGACGGATTTGACTTTGCTACAAATTTAGAATTTCCAGTTTTTCTAGATAGATGAACTTTGAAAAGAACTAGTCGAGTCAAGTGCAGCCCAATCAGCCACAGTGCGACAGGTGTCTTCAAGGCGAAGAAAAACAAGACAATTATAGAATCATCAATCTCTGTACATTATAAGTACCATGGGACATACATTGTTAAATGTTCAGTTCACAGCTCATGTGCCTGTTGAGTACATTTGCTGTAATTATAAAGAACGTGTTTGTCAGATTGGGTAGCCTTCACCACACATCTGGATCTCCCATTCTTCAGCCGTTCAATCCTGTTTGAGATATTTGGCGCTGGAACAGGAAAAATAATTATTGGGTAGGTATTATTGGGTAGGTACCCATCTTGGGTAGGTTGATCGTACTTGCGATCATCGCAAGTGTGCGCTTGTGCACACCGGCCCGTGCGGCATTTGTCTTACGAGCAGGCCACAAACCCGCCGAAAATATTCAGATTTTCGGCTGGTTTTCAAACATGTTTGTAAGACAAAAGACGTGCGACCGTACAGTAGAAACGGTCGCACGCCTTCCATTTCCCGCAATTATCGTACGATAGTCGGCAGGTGTATGGCCACCTTTACAAGAGAGTTTCATTCACCCTGTTTGGATTTATTTTTTTTACATTATGGAAACAGAGCAAGAGGATTAAGACCTAATCTTGAAAAGCCAGAGGCTCTCTCTCTTGGCGTTCTTTAGAGAGATATATGAAGCCAATAAGTGATTCACCCTACCAGTGCCCACTGAAATCTGAAAGCTCAATTTTGGATGGCCTCACTCGTTGAAATCAAAAAGCCATCATGGCTGAGTAAACAAATTAATTGGGTACAAGGATGGCTTATTAAAACGATAATTTCACATAGAACATTATGTTTTTATTCACTCATGTTTTTAATAAATAGCTTGAGGGCCTAATGCTACAAATGTGAGTGTATGCTTATATACTGTATAAAGTCTGCCACCTTCCTTATTTCACTTGCAGAGTCAACATTTGTGATTGTTTCCGCAGGAATTATTAATGGAGTTAATGAGAGAGAATCTTTTTCTTGGCCAGTATGTAACTTATGTGGCAGTAGTAAGCTGCAGCCTTCGGATTCAGACAGGTAAATTTGATTTGATGGTTCATATGTTAAAGTTTTTTGCCTTCCCTTGAAGTGTATATAAACCCTAACAACAAACTTCTCTTGTTTGCTTCCTTTTGATGAATTAAATATTTCACTGAAAGGGTTTTGCTATATATTGTATGTTCGAAATGTGCAAACAAATACCTGTTGATTTTGCCAGAAGCATTGTGAGCTGATAATGTCCTGTGCTCTCTGCCTGTGCACACGCAGAGGTTATGGGGATGATCAGGAGGGAGGGATTTTTAGCTTTGAGGGGTAAAGTCCCACATTGAGCTTTTAAAAGACCACATGGTCTTTACCTACATTTCCCAGGGAGCACTGCCTGTTATCCCTGTTTACTTTTGTACCCCAGTGTAATAATTCCTGCGGTGCTTAATATGCTGACCTGAACACCAGCCCTGTGCTGAGGAAGCCCAGTATGTTCAATAAGTGGTGTCCATGTGTTGGTTTTCTAGATTGGTAAAGGCCATGTAATGCTTTAAACACCCATTGGGTAGGGCAGGCGTGCTATTAAAAAACTGCATTGAGCCCAGTTTAATTGAACATATTTCCTAGACAGCACTGGCTGAAATCTACCTATCTATACTTAATAATTCAGTGAATTCATTCTAACATGCCTGTTATTCCACACAAGAGCCCCCCCCCTCCGTGGTATCTGATGATCTCAAACAAGATCTGTAACAGAGAAAGTTGGTCAATTTCTGGTCACCCTTATGGCATGCTTGGTTGCCTTTTTCATTATGAAGTGCCGCTGACTTTTACATTTACTGCATGACCTTTTGACTTTTTTGCTCAGGGCTGTTGTGTTTTATGTAATTAGATTATATTATTTTCATTTCAAGCTAGATGACAGTATTTGCTTTTCTTCTCCAATTAGTTTATTTGTTTTATGTTTGCTAATGTTCCCTACAGGCACAAGTATTTCTGTCGCCATTGTGCTGCAGACGTAAGCTCTCCAATTATCAGGATGAAGCTTGAAGTATATCTGCACTGTGAATTAACTCCAGGACGTAAAGTAAAATTAAAGGTAAGCCATTGATTTGGCTTAGTAAATCGTATTGATTAACATCTCGGACCTCTGTGGACTGCAACTGAACCAGTTGTCCTAAATCCTTCTCATGTTGCAGCCTTCTTAAAGCATATACATAGACAATTCTATTTGTTTGTTTTGGATAAAGTGGAGAAGGATTAGAACCGCTGTCAGTTTTTTCCCCTGCGCATGTCCTATCAGGGAGAAATCCCTGCATGTGCTGTCCTGAAGATGCAACAGGAAGTGAGATCAAATCTGTACAAATTTAGGAGAATTTCCTTCATAGAGAGTGTCCCCATTGGAAGATGTATTTCTGTCTCAGTGATAACGGCAACCAGGTCAACTAGGGAGTGTAAATCTACCCAGGGACACAGAAAGCAATACAAACTTGTCAGGGGATTTATCTCTTTACTATTCTATTCAAATCTTTGGGCTTTACGTACACTCTAAGTATTGTGTTAAATGGGTAAAAACTCCCTTTGCTCCAGTGATCTTTAAAAACACAGATGTCATATGTGCATGATAAGCAAATTAGAGCTATAGCATCCTCCAGGACAACTACGTCTTACCTTTTGTTTTCCTGTTCAACTTCCTGATTCACTGCTGCAGCCCTCTAAAAAAACAACAAAAAACAGAGAGGGGAATTTATCAAAACTGGAGCAGATTTGCATTGCAACCAATCAGCTTCTCTGTCTCATTTTCAAATCTTACCAGAGCAAACTGAAGAGAGATGCTGATTGGTTGCCATGGGCAACTGCTCCAGATTCTCTCTGCTCCTGTTTTGATAAATTCCCCTCAGAACTTCTGAAAATAGGGAAAATGTGCATCCAGTTCAGTGCTCAGTGCCTGTATGAGCTATTGCTGGACCAAGCACTATCACTTGGAGGGTGTGTATGAAAATACTGGCTCTCACAAAGTGATAGGATTTTATGGGGGTTGGAATGGCAGATTGGGAGAACCTAGAAGGAAATATAAAGCTACATTGTCTCACCAGAGCCTGTCCCCTCTGCAGCTACAGGATTATTGTGAACATTTGACAAGTGTGCTTTAAACTGCAGTTGTGTAATGCAAACACTCTTATATTTCATATGACATGTGAATAATAATAATAAAAACATGGTATTTAGAAATCCCGCTGATCTTTGACTTGGTGACACTGATAGCATTTACGATTCAGTCTGTGGACTGATGGGTACAAGCCACTGCTTTAAACCATGAAGTGGAGTGCCATTAAGAGAAGTAACATTGAAATACCCGTTGTATATGAACATATTTATTACACTGCTCATGCTATATTGTTTCATGTGTTCTGATTTCCCCACAGCTGCAGCAGAATACTATTTCTTCTCTTCTGAGTTCTTGCTTCAATGAAGATGGGGTATGTTTTATGCAACTATTCTCATCAAATCGGAAATGACAAATGAATGTGCTATCCACCAGTCTGCAGCTAAAGATTGTTTCTTTAGGGGGTTGAGCTGCCAGGATGATGTCAGCAGCTGACTCTTCATCAGCATCTGATTCTTCTAAGTACACCCAAAAGTTAGGTAGACAGATCAGTTTAGAATTACTCAGTTTGGAACAAGCAAGCCTAAAGTACATTAACTGACTGCACCCTTTTACTGTGTCATTGACTTACGCTGGCCATACATTAAGCAAATTGCAGCCTGTTCCTGAGGAAATTCGCACAGTGGGTGCCGCCATCGGTACCCTTTTGGCCGGTATCCCTAGATCAGCTGATCGAAGGAGCCAGTTGGAATATCTTCAAATGAACAGAGCTTGCGGCTATGAGCTGGGTATTCTGACAGCAGCCGGCGGCCACCGGTAGAATACTATGAATACAGCAGGAGATTCCTCAATCAACGTTCATAAACGTTGATGGAAGAATCTGTTATATTTTCTTTGTTCACCCCACGGGCTGAACAAGGAAAATATTAGACATGTGCACTGCCAAAAAATTTGTTTAGTTTTGTTTCGTTTTAAATTCGGATTTGTGTTATTTCGTTTTTCAGGATTCGGGTGTGAAAGTCAATTCGGATTCGGACGAAATTCGGTAGCGTTAGTACGAACGTTCGTTTCGTTTTCTGTTCTTATTCGTTTCGTTCGTTCGTTCGTTCGTTTGCAGCAAAAGTGACATTTGAGGGTGAAAAAATATTTTTCTCCTTCTCTAATGTCACTTTGCTCCAACGAACAAAACGAATAAGAACAGAAAACGAAACGAACGTTCGTACTAACGCTACCGAATTTCGGAAATGGAAATTCGGATTTGTTTGCATTCGTTATGTCTGTAATTCGGAATTCGGATACATCCGAAAATTCGTCCGAATTTCGATTTGGAACGAAACGAATCGCACATGTCTAGAAAATATTACGGAATATGGACAGCTTTATTAGGGGTTGGGATACAGTAATGATAAAGATGATGGCCCTAGAGTGTGCACTTTTCAAATGAAAGAACCCAATGAATTTGCAATATCACAAAAGATGAAAGTGAAACTATATTATGGCAGCGACTAAATTATCAAAAGGATTCCCCAAGAACATAAATCCAGCAATATTAGTAAAAATCTCCTTTTATAGCTGCCACTTCATAGTGTCATAGTGAGATTTTCCTGAATCCTTAGCGGCAGTATCACTCCTCAGTGTAACTTTCACCTCTTCTAAATAGGAAAGAGGTGCAAGTTACACTGAAGAGTGATACTCCCGCTAAAAGAGTGATGTCACTGGGTTAATATGATACTACATAACCACCAGCCAGTTTTTTTCCCTTTATTTTCATCTAACCTGTGCGTAAGACACTTCCTGACCTAAGGTGACAACGCTCGCTCATTGTGCTGTATCTATGCAGGAGCAGCGCTGACCCCCTAGGCTGTACGCTCCTCCTCCTCGCTTCTGTAATACACAGGGGAGAATTGGGCAAGGCTAATAGCATAGCTTAAGATGCCAGTGGGACAGAGGCTATTTCCAGAGGAAGTTACAAGCTCAATCGTTTTATGGCAGGATCAACAAGTATATTTCTGTACTTGCAGCATATTTAAATGTGCATGTATTGCAGAGATGTACTGAATATGTTTTTGTGCCCAGATATGCACTTTAAATCTTATGTGCCAATGATTTCTCTCTTCTTGTAGATATTGTTGGGCACCAAAACTGTCACTGTAGCAGCATTTGGCTATGTGATTGTTATGGGGATGGGCTAAAACTCAGTGCAAACCAATCAAAACCATGCCTGTTTCCTGGTTTTACGATTTGATGACGGTTAATGGAAGTAGTACTATTATAACTGAGTACGCAGTCACTATAGGAGCCAGTACAAGAGGAAGCAAGTGTCTTATGCATTTCTTCTTAAAGTGTTCACACAGACATAAGGAGACATTGAGGGAAAAGGCTGAATTGGGCTCCCCCATGACTCCACTGTCTGATTGAACAGTCGATGGGGCAGATTAGAAAACCTGCCCTGATCTCTGTTGTTTCCTCTGGTAGTATCAGTGTCATTAGTTTCCTCTGCCTCCCATAGCTATGTCATGTTAGTGACAGCAGCAGCTGATTCTTGTGTCTAAAGGGTTGCCCATGAATGTATAACTGGCCTTGTAGGCCTATGGATGGCCTTACTTGTGTACAAGTGTTGTGATAGTAAGTTAATGGCCAAAGAGAGAGTACTGGTATTCTAAAGCTGTAAAGTAAAATCCAGTGTATCTAGCTTTGTGATTTAGCTACTACTACTTAAATTCTGCACCACTTTTATGGCTGCACATGGGCAGGCAGAAATCTAAAAGCAATAGATAATGAGACATCTGCCCACTCTATATTACATTGATGGAGACACAGAACTCATTGTGATCTTCTCCCATATGAAGTGTGGATGCAGTGCATGTACACTGAGCACTTCCACAGAAAATGTAGTGATCTGCACCCAGTTCCGCAGTGATTTTCCAACTCTTAGAGGCCCTATTATTGCATGATTGTTGTAAGCAATGCTACTTGACCCCAATCGCTTGAAGCTATCTGCCCTTGTATAGCTCTAAGGCCATTAGTAAGAGCACATCACTCCATGAGGCACAGTACATGGAAAAAGGTTGTCTAATGGAATCATGAGTAATGTGCAGGTACCTGCATAACCTTTGCTACCAGTAACCCCCATTCAGTGATAAGGAGCACTGTGTAATTGCAGTGGAAATAAAATGGCATTCGGTTATCAGCACCAGACATTGTACAGTAATCTTGTAGTTGAGCTCAGACTTTTGGCTCACCTGTGCTCAACTGTCGTCTGGGCTGTAAAAGGTAATAAACAGGGAGAGGACCTTGCTGCATGATTTTTATCTGAGCTATGTACTTGTTTGAACAAAATGTACAGTTCTGTTTGCTGAGTACACATGCCTTTTATCTGCAGCGCTATGAGGTGAGTGCCATCCTGGGAAAGCAGGTGGGGCCTGTGACCTGCTACGTCCAACATGTGAACAGCAGCGTGGGCCTGGAGGAGATATGTCTTCTGCAAGCAGGAATTCATGACGTTTAAGGGGGTCTGGACTTTGCTATATAGTTACTGATTAACTCATGGAGAGAACATTTTACACTGAAATTGTGTTTTAATGAATGCGCTAAGCTGGGCATGAACACGTGCCAGCTATTGAAGTACTACAAGTCTCCATAGCTGGTGGGACATGTTAGATGGTATCTTCAGTAGAACCCCCCTTCTCTATGTAAATAAAAAGGAACAAGTTTTAATAAAACCATTTCTGTAAATGCTGTAATTTGCGTCTTTTTGCTGCAAAACCACTGCTTGCAGTTTCTTTTTGAAAAGAGAATGATTGGATTTATCCTCTCCAATGTATTGGATCTGCTTCATCTGTATCAATATTCTTTCTGTATGACATCACGTGGTGTATAGATTTCACATATGTGCCAGGGGGAATGCTGTGGATATGTACAAACGGTTTCCCAGAGCAACCAGATTCCAGTTCTCATTTTCTAACCCACGATATAGAGATGAAAGCTGGAATATTGTTATACGCATCTCCAGGTTGTATAGAACTACCCCTGTGGTACACCATCCTTGCAGTGTCTTGAAAGGTTGATAAGACTAAGGCCCCATTCACACATCGCGCGATATCGCGCAAATGCTTGCATTGAGCAAGCTTGAACGCGGCTAAACCTGCTCCAAAAAGGGTCCTGCTGTAGCGACGCACGACCCGCGACAGCAGGACCCTTTGCCTCATTGAGAAGCATTGGAGAGCGATATCACGCGGTAAATCGCTAAGTGTGAACGGGGCCTTAGGCTGACCATACACTATATAATCTTCTTTTATGTAATATAAGGACACACCTGGACAGTACATTCAATATACTGTATATTTAATTAGGCAGGCACTTTCGCTGCCTAGCTGATGGTAGATCTAATAGTGTATGGCCAGCCTAATACTCTGCACATCAGGCTTTTACATTACAGTACACATTATATTATAGAGATGTGTCCCTAAAGTGATCTATTAGAACTTGTTCACACCATAATACCGGTCAGCTGACACAAGCATTTCTCCACTGTTAAGACACCCATTTTTGAAACACATGTAATACCTTTAAAGCACCACACAGCATTTACATCCTTGTGCTGTGGTGCATTTTTAGTGCAGAGGCAATTTTTGGACAGCATTGGGGTGCTGTTGAAGTGACACTAAACTCGGGAGTTAAATCTTACAAATACATTCAAGTATCTTAACTACTAACAAAAATGTATCTTATTTGTGTATCACTCAGGTGTAGATCCTCAAACCATCTCTGAACTCTCTCCCATGATGGACTACAATCTCACGTTTAGTTCACCAATTTGTATTGAGATTGTAGTCCATCACAGGAGCGAGCTTGGAGCGGTGGCTACTTTACAACACACACAGGGACCATGGAGAACAAAAGTAGCCACCCTCCAGAAGGAAGGACAGTGTCAGTGCCAATTCAGAGATGATTTGAGGATCTACAGCCGAGTGATGCACAAATAAGATACATTTTTGTTGATAGTTAAGGAAGCTGAATACATTTTTAAGATGTAACTCCTGAGCTTAGTGTCACTTTAAGATTGAATAGCAATACACTGTCATTGTAATGTGTGTTATTACATGCACTGTGGTGTGACTGCGTCCTTTACGGTCACATCAGACCCTTTTTGTCTTGCATCTGTTTTTAATGTGTTTCAGTGGTGTTCCCAGGTAGGTCCCTTGAGGTGTTCTGCTCATGGTAGCAGGTGAGTAGAAATTAGATTTATACCAGGAAGTGTCCCAACTTCATTCCTTAGAGCAACAGGATTATAATGTATTAGGAGATCAGTTCACAAGACAAAATAAATGACTGTTCCAAAATCCTAACTTGTGTACAACCTTTAAGGACCAAAAGTTGGACAGTTTAGTCCAAGGTGTAGCCAAGCTACCACAAATCCCATTAGGCATTGCAAGTCTGACAGCTACAGGCATGAGGGGATTTGTAGCTTCATCTTACCTGGAGGGCCATAGTTTAGCTACCCCTGGTTTTGTCACACCTTGTGCCATACTCATAGATGAGCACACTTGTGTTCTTCAGGTCGGGCTTACACCAGAAATGCATGTGTTGCATTAAGAATTTAATTGGCAAAACCGGTGAGTGAAGCTGAAATGCAGTGTGTTGTACTGTGACACTAGTGTGAGCAAGGCTTATTGACACAAATGCATTTCATGGCAGAGTGAACAAGCCCTTCATATGAAATAAACCTGTTTGTACCGATCGGGTGCTAATGACCTATAGCCTTTCCCAGCTATTCATTAACCAGAATTGTGATATGAAATTCAAGAGAAGACAGAGTGACTTCTTGTGTATGTGATGGTTCCAGCTAAGAAAACGTAACCCAACATTGACACCGTTTAACCCCTTCCACAGACTTTGTACACTTGATGGACAATAAAGCAGTGAGACCGATGCTGGTGCATTTTTACATTTTATTATTATTAAAAATGCTGTAAAAATGATCATATAAAAAGTTGAGCATGCTCATTCTGTTTCCCTAATATCTACAATACAAAGTATTTGTTTCTCTGTAATCATTTTACAAACGTACCATAGCTGCATCCATACAGAATATAGAAAACTACAAATTACAAAAATAATTTAAGGAAGGGAAATGTTTTAGCTTTGTCTTATAGTTTTGTGGAGAAGAGAAATATATCGTTCTAGAATTCCAGGGGGTAGCACTATTATCTGGCTACACATTCAACAAAAAAGGAAACTGAAGACCAGCACAATTTCTGTTTGGCACTGCCCAAAATGTGCCCTCCCCATACAGTACGTTCAGCTACAGGCCGATTGTGCAAGGCACTAACAGAACATATCAAATGCTTCTGCTAATGTGAATGGCTCCACTTGGGCATTAGCAGGACAACACGAGACAAAGAGAACCAGTATCTCAAATACAAAAATATAAAGAGAACAAGTAAAAAACAACATATTAAAAGGCACTAGAAAAGCAACAGGCACTTAAAGAGATGGGGGGATATCGGACAATGGTTATGAAAATCATCCATTTTGTAGTCATAAAACGTTTGCATGGACTTAGCTCTAAAGTGTTTACAATATTAGCGTTCAGTCCGTACCTCCCATTTTGTTCACATGAATTAATAAATGTGAGGCTGTAGCCTGCAATCTATCTCTACAGGACAGCAGGGGAAAGCTTCACATCCATCAGGTCATGAATATTAAAAGTGCAGTGGTCACGTGATGTCAGGTGCACTGCACCTTTAATACTTGCTGCTAACCCAGCTCTTTGGCACATTGAAATCCAATGATGAGTGCCAGAGGAGACAGTTGTCATGATTCTGGCACTCGGTGGGGTTCAAACACTCCCCAAATCCCTTCTACATGCTATGAAAGTCTTATTGCACTAGGCTGATGACTGAGAAGTATGGCTCAGTGTGGAGAGGGGAGCACATTGTCCTGTATGATGCAGGGTGAGCCCCTCCCTCCCAGGGTTGAGGTATTCAGTGATTGTAGTCCATGTGCTCAGGCTGGCACGGTTACCGGCAGTCGATGGTGCCCAGGAAGGTGCCGGCGGTGGCTGTGGGGGGCAGCTGTTTGAAGAAGTGTCTGAGGTTGGATAAGTCCCTGGTGAGCAGGTCGATCCTCTTGTGCAGCTTCTCGTTCTCGTTGGAGAGTTCCAGCAGTTTCTGCTGCATGTCAGTGTTGCGTTTCTTCGCCTTGTCTCGGCTCTTCCTCACCGCTATGTTGTTCCTCTCCCTTCTCTGCCGGTACTCCGGGCTGAAGCGGTCCAAATTCTTCTTGTTGCCCCGGTCCTTGCCGCCGGTGGTGGAGGAGGATGGGGACGGGCAGGCGGAGCTGGTGGCGGAGCAGGGCTCTGGAGAGGTGGGTGGTGTGGGTTGCAGGTTCATGCTGGTCTGGGCACAGGTGGCGATCTGGCAGGGAAGGGACGAGGAAATGTCGCTGTCACTCCACTCCGGCTCCTGCTTGAGATGTGGCTTGAAGTGTGGGGCCAGGAGTCCGCTCAGGTAGTCCGCCCCGCTCTCCGTCCGCTCGCCGTTCTTGCTGTTGAACAGGTCGGCGAACAGCTCGTCGTTACACAGCTCCAGGTTGGGCACGGAGGCCATGGAGTCGATGTACGAGCTGAAGTCGATGGCGCTCTCGTCGTCGTAGATGGCCGGGGCTGCGCTGAGCTCGGCCAGGGTGCTGCCGCTGCCCACCGGGGGCTCGGGCTCCTCACACATGACCCGAGGCTTGCAGTGGCTCGGAGAGGCGCTCACCCGCTGCTCGTAGAAGTTGGCGGGCTCCATGCACCAGGCTGCATAGGGGGACACACAGCGGCTCTCCAGGCTCATGGATAGGGCACTCATGTGAGTGCTAGACGGGACCGCTGGAGGTGAACTGGCACCGGGCACACGGGACGGTGGAGGTGAGCTGGCTCTGGAGGTGAGCTGAGCTGGCACAGGGCACGCTGGGCTCTGGATGTGAGTTGTCACCGGGCTCCGGGCACGCTGGATTCTGGAGGTGAGCTGTCACCGGGAGGTGATCTCTGTATAGGGTTGCTGTCAGTGAGCTCTGAGAGAAAGACGTGCTGAGCGCTGCTTATATAGCTCCCGGCCTCCCTCCTCTATGACGTGTTATCAGGGCCCGGGGAAGGAGGAGGGTGCCGGGCTTCACCTACACACATTAACCCTTCCAGCTCCGCTACTACACCGGACGTGTCCCTTCCATCCTTCTATAGACTGCAAGTCAGCAACGTGCGCAACACATCTACCTGACAGGACGCGGCACCCTGTCCCCTGATGACAGCCATGGGTATAATGTATGGACAGCTCGGGGGGTGACGGCCATGTATATAATGTATGGACAGCTCGGGGGGTGACGGCCATATATATAATGTATGGACAGCTCGGGGGGTGACGGCCATATATATAATGTATGGACAGCTCGGGGGGGGACGGCAATGTATATAATGTATGGAGAGCTCGGGGGGGGCTATATAATGTATGGACAGCTCGGGGGGTGACGGCCATGTATATAATGTATGGACAGCTCGGGGGGTGACGGCCATATATATAATGTATGGACAGCTCGGGGGGTGACGGCCATGTATATAATGTATGGACAGTGGGGGGGGGGTGACGGCCATGGGTATAATGTATGGACAGCTCGGGGGACGACGGCAATGTATGGACAGCTCAGGGGGTGCGTGACGGCCATGTACATAATGTACAGACAGCTCTGCTGGACACTGAACCCCCCCAATGGGATCCGGAGAGCAGTCATTTCTCGGGAAGGTTGGATGGGAAGTTTGGGTTTCCCTCAGAGAGAACACTCCGGGCAGACACAAGCAGTCTCAATAGTTTTCTACATCATTGTGTTCCCGGACTCCTCGGCAAAGTCTCTGCGCCGATTGTAGATGGCGCTGGGAATAACATGAACTGTTATATAACAGGACCAGAACAAGCCTTAGAATAAGGGGAGAGACCATTCAATCATGACAAGGAAAGATGAATGTCAAAGCCTGAGGATCATTTCTGGCATTGTGCTCTTCACTCTGTTCCCCGGCACAGTGCATGGTTGTAATCTTCCATGCTGGTACATAGGAATGTGAAGGGAGCTCCATCCATGCCTCCCATTATACCACCTACATGTACATTGTGTGCTGTCACAGCCTAGAAATACACTCGATTTACTGAGATTCTGTGTCATGGACCCACACAAAACATTACATAATGGCAACATGAAACCACCGACCCAGTTTTGTCCTGATTGCCTGTTTGCTGTGAATGCCCCATATCATCTCTGGGACCAGCAACTGTCTTCAGAAGTTGATAAATCTATTAGTGACGTGTGGAAAGAAAATGGCACAGTGCCAACTTTATATAGCTAGGAGGCTAGTTCTGAAAGATCCACAGCTGGGCCTGGGGGGCACCCAGAGAAGGCCAATTTTCTAGTATAGCATGGCGGTAGTAGCATCCTGTCCTGGAAATTCTATCCATCAACTATTGACAGCAAGATGAATAGAGCCAAATATAGATGATCTCTGGAATAAAACCTGTTTCAGTCTGCAAGATATATATATACCTCCATCGCGGTGCGTAACTGCATTGCGGTGCGTAACTCCGTCGCGGTGCGTAACTCCGTCGGGGCGCGTAACTACGTCGGGGCGCGTAACTACGTCGGGGCACGTAACTACGTCGGGGTGCGTAACTATGTCAGGGTGCGTAACTACATCGGGGTGCGTAACTACATCGCGGTGCGTAACTACATCGGGTGCGTAACTACATCGCGGTGCGTAACTACATCGCGGTGCGTAACTACATGGGGGTGCGTAACTACATGGGGGTGCGTAACTACATCGGGGTGCGTAACTACATCGCGGTGCCTAACTACATCGCGGTGCGTAACTACATGGGGGTGCGTAACTACATCGGGGTGCGTAACTACATCGCGGTGCCTAACTACATCGCGGTGCCTAACTACATCGGGGTGCGTAACTACATCGCAGAGTATAAATTTTTTTTTTTAATACACATATACTTTTGAGTCCTCAATGGGTGAAGAGCCTTGCTGTTACTCTCCCCAAGCTAGTATAGACAGGCCTGAACTTGTAAACACTGGACTGAAGGGCAACATACACAGCAAGCATCAAACTTCCAGCTACTTTTTGAAGCCCTCACAGCACCCTTCAGCCGCTGTGCTAAATACGGTACTAGTCTAGTGACGGTGCTGCCTGTAGCTTTAATACAATGCAATGGTGAAGCTTGATAGGCAGCGCGATCATTGAAATCTGTATTTTGCAGTCCCTTATTGGAGCTGATGGGTTCTTAAAGAGCTTTAAGAAAGCTTCCTGAAGGCTGTGGAAAGTATTGTAAAGCTTGCTGTGAATGGTGCTTTACAACTAGTGTTTGCAATATAAAGTCTGTGTGAAATGGGCCATAGGGTGTACTAAAGGGGTTACATGACTCATTTCAAGATAGAGTAAAGGAACGTGGAAGTGTTTCTAGTGCAGTTGACAGAAGAATAACATTTTGGTCACTTCCTCTCCTCCATAGACATACATATGCATGTAATCCGAGCATGAATGTTTTACACAATTGCATGTAAAAGCGGTATTATGCCATCATCACATGGTCAGCTCATATAAGCAGGTAAAGAGGAGTGCTGAATGTTGGAAGATAACACTAATCACACCAATTTATCTTTAGAGACTAAAATGATTTGCTCATTACTATTGGCAGCCAAGACAAAAAACTGTTAATATGTATGCAAATGTCCCTTTAAAGTGCATTATATTACTGAGTAGCAAGTTATATATTGATTTTTCTGGCTGTGTATGTGCCATGTCAGAAACTGCATTCACACAGATTCCTACATGGTCTTCCAACATACAATGTTTCCTACATGTCAGGCCACCTCCCTACTACTGACTATAGGTAGGCAGTAATAGAAAGAGCTTGGATACTTTATCTTATTATAGATGAATTACATATCACATGGAATTCCACCAATCTTAATTGCTGGAGACACCAGAGATCGTCTCCTGATTGGATCGTACATGGCTGAAATACGGACTTCTTATCAAACAACAATGTGTCCAGAATCTTCCAGTATATGACTGCCCTTAATGTATGCATACATGGCTGGGAGGCTCATCAGAACAAAGTTTGGAGCAGGTAACAGAGCTGTTGTGAAGCTCTGTGTTCATATTGAGGCTTTAGATATGGCTGCTGCAGAAGAGACTCCCTGACTAATCGCTAAAGTAAAGAAGATGTTAACTGGGAAGAGATGCCATAAATCTCTCCCAGCTAATTCAGCACAGAGGCAGCTTTCCATCTATTCTTTGCAGGGAGCAAAATACTTCCAGGTTTGTTGGTGCCAGCAGAATAGGCAATTTTCTAGCTCCATGTTTATAGTCTCTCTTTGTTAACTGTCTCGCTCTTTAGTTCAAAGTGAAGTATTCTGCGCTCAGACAGTAAGTGCAACATAAATGCTAATGCAGACACTGTGATGCTTTTGAAGTCAGAAATGTAAAGTTGGTTAGATGAGTTTTCCTTTGCTTTCTGTGACTGTGATCAAATGTTTGTCGCCATTGCATACAAATTTCATTAGGGGCCGATTTTATAAAGGTTTCAAATGGTTGAACTCTTTTCCTGCATTTCACAATTCAGCTTATTTATAACAAAAAGTTTTGGTCGGAGGTTGAGCTTTCCATTTCACTTCACAAGTTCTGGATTGTTCTGGATTGGTTTCTTCTTTTCTGTTTACATTTGTGGATCAATTCGAATTTTGTAGAAATCCATTTTCAGAATGAGTAGAATGCTATAACAGTGGCACACAATTACTTCTAATATGGACCTCTCATTCTTCTCCGGCAGCTTTACTTTTCTGAGGTCACGTTGTAACAGGGCACTCCAACATTAGGGAAAAGCTAAAGAGTCATCACACGTAGGCCTTGTTCAGCTTGTATAGGAGCCGTGTGTGCACCAAGCTTTTACAAAACATTCCCAAAGCTTTGAGCAGCTTTCTTGAAGCCTTCACAGCTTCCTTTAGCTCTAGTTTTGGAATGTTAAACAGAGACCTCAATGGGAGTGCCAACAGTAACTTTAAGCAAGCTGCTAGCAGGCTTCTAACAACCTTACTAAAGCCTTTTAGAAGACTAAATGAGCTAAATGGTACTTTAGAGGCTTCAAGCTTGCTGAAAGCTCTGAAAATGTTGCTGTACACACTGCTCTTATGAAAGTTGAAGTCCATGTGAATAAGGCCTTGCCCAGCGCTTCCAATGTAGGACCGGATGTTCTTTTGTTTTCCCTTCCCATATACTGATAACACTCTTGTAATCCCTCACGGGCAGGGTCCTCCTTACCATCTTGTCTTGAATTGTATTGCGATTGTAATGTCTTCCCTATATTGTAAAGCACTGCGCAAACTGTTGGCGCTATATCAATTCTGTATAATTATAACAATACACTTAGGGCATAAAGTGCGCACACTGCAATGTGTACGGCAGATTTCAGTGATTCAACTTTGATGTCAATCAGTTACACAACCCACTAAGATTATGATGGTGCCCATTCTGCTATAAGCTACCCAAGCACTCGGTCCTTTCTCACCATATGACAGCTGTCACATTTTATTATGGGAATGCCTATGCCCTGATCCTCAGGTATTCACATTTGGAATGTCTGCAGACATTTTGGCTGTAGTCAAGAGTTAGGTGCTCTTTGTCCTCATTGTGGAAAAAGCCCCCATAATGTTGAATGAAACTGTGTACTCTGTGTTAATAGAAGTTAACAATTTGTAAACCGACGTCAAGTGCAATTTTGCACAAAAGAAAAATATGAAAACATTGCGTCATTGATGGATTCTCCTTGCCTTGTCCGGTACACATGTGTATGGAGTAACTACCACACTATTATCAGGAACCTTTGTGTAGCTGCTCCTCTAACACTTCCATGTCAAGGCTGAGAAAAGCTGAACACACTCTGCTCCTATGATCCAATCAGAGTTTCCCCTTTCCCACTGTATATGAGCTCTAGTAACAGTTTGATATGGAAACGGTGGACACAGACTTATAAATTGGTGGAGTCAGGTCTTCCTGAGGATTTAGTCTGATCACTCATTTCATAGATAGGTGGTGTGTGCTAATTGTGTCATTTCATCATTTGTAAACAGTATTTTCCTTTCCCATTGGGTTGGAGCGCTTCAATTTTTAAAGCTGATTAGATTGTTTTCCCAGAAAATACATCTAGTATGCCCAGCATATTGTAGAGAGCCACCAATGGCTACCTTCTTTAAAACTTCATCTATGGCTTGTGTTCATGGTCTTACCATTTCAGTGTGTTAATAATGTAGATATTATTACAATCTGTATTCAATATGAGCCTACACATGATTAAACACAGCAAGTCAAAGTTTTTTGTTTCTTTTTAAGGCCTTCTAATCAAGGCAGACAGGTTCTCACCAGGGACACTGAGTTGATGTCACAGTTGATGGCCCCCTGCTGCCACTAATCTGTGTTAAGAGTCAGTCAGTAACCCTCTCTCCAGGGATGTCTGCCCTGATCGTTATCACGTTTGTTATGTGCTCACTGCTGTTTGTGAACATGAGAACAAGTAGGTTTACAATCCTAGGTTTACAAGGCATGATTACAGAAGAAGATAGACCCTCTAGGTTCCATTGGTGTTTTCTACCTCCCCTTTGTGGAGGGACTCTGATTGTAACTCTCAGGCTAGGTCCACACCTAGGCGATTCAGATGCTGAGCTGCTTTCGCACGGTTATTGCATGTTTTCGATTGCGTCACTTTCAATGATTAGAGATGTCTATGGGACCCAAACCGCGCAACAACCACCCTAAAACGCAACAGGCGATTTTGGTCGCACGCCAAACCACAAAGGTGTGAACCGCCTCCATTGACTTCAATGTGAATCTGTGTTTTGCGCGATATCCCGCAACACAAACCGCACGATAAATCGCCTAGGTGTGCACCGGCCTTAAACCCTCCTGTGTTTTTGCATAGATCTACTATATGCAAAAAGTGTTTTAAAAAAACACGCTTTAAAAGCGTTTTAAACTTACCTGTGTCTTCCCTGCGCTCCCGTCCGAAAATGTGAAAATTCTTGGGCGGCTGCAAAGCATCTTTGGGCGGGCGCATGCGTAGTTCACATTTTTGGCCGTGACGCGAGGAGAGACACAAGGTAAGTCTATGGACGGCGTGCACCTGCATGCAGACACCGTGGTAGAGGAAGTGCCAGCAAGGACAGAGGAGTCAGCGCTGGAGAGACAGATGAAAACAGGAAGGAAGAAGAAGATCGCATTAAGAGACATAATTTAAGGTAAGTGCTGACATTAACATTAGGGGGAGGGAAACAAAAATATACTTTAATGTCACTTCAATACCTGGAGCGAGCAATGTTGTGTATCACAATACAAACCTCGGATCGAAGGATGCCAAATGGAAGAGTGCCGACAGGGGGCAACAACTGTGCAAATTTCCACTGGTTTGTGAAGGAGCATCCGAAATTCGCAGTGTATGGCCAGCTTTACTTCCATCTTAGCAGCAGACTTTCTATAATGTGACGCAGATCATCCATCATTGGTGTAAATCTGTTTAGGACACAGTGGTACTCAGTTTTCTGTGGTGCAGAAAGGATGAACTAAGTTTACCGGCTGATGGAAGCTATATTGTTTATAATAAGAAAAAACTCAGATGTATTATCCATATATGTAGTTGATGTTTTCCAATTGGCTCTTGTATAGTGTAGATTTAACCAGAACTCACACAGCAAAACATATACAAGGGATTTATTTTGCCTGGCATAGGGTTTGTAATCATGCTCGGCCAGTCTTGTGATTCACATAGATCTTCCACATTGCACAGATGGGTGTGTGCCACCTCTATTTCCTGGTTCAACTTTCCAGCTTCCCATGCCACCTCTCTGTCTCCAGCCTTTTTATTGGACAATGAATCAGTTTTATTACACAGCTGAATCCTTGTCCTCTGAATGGGCAGGTGACACAAGATGCTGTAAAGCTGAAGCAGGAAATAGGGGTGTTTCCTACTTAGCTGAGCAATGTAAATAAATTTACATAACTTAAACTAGGTCATTGTAATCTATTTCAACTGTGTATGTAGCTGTTCACATGGGGGGGATTTATCGAAACTGGAGCCGAGAGAATATGGAGCAGTTGCCCATGGCAACCAATCAGCATCTCTCTTTGGTTTGCTCAGATAAGATTTGAAATGAGAGAGAGAGAAGCTGATTGGTTGTTGTGAAAATCTGCTCCAGTTTTTATAAATTCTCCCCATGGAATTTTGCATTACACTACTGTTGGTGTAAAAAGGCATTGCCAATTTCTATAGTAACACTGCAGGACAATAAGCCCCCCCAGCTCTGCCTAAAGTGATTGAAGTGACCGTTGTCATGTTGCAGCTTCCTCTAATCAGAGAACATGAATATGTATAATGGCTGCAGGCCTTCCAATCCCATTGAACAGAATGCTGAGGGGCAGGCATCACTTTCTGCTACAGCACCAATACATTTCCTTCTATATAGCACATCAGGAGCAGGCAGGCTTCATATTTATTGCAGAGTATTGTTTGGGGTTCTCCTTTAAGCCATGACAAGCCCCAGTGAATATGGATTGTTATGCTGTCTTTATGAAGCCAGTCTGTTGTCACTTTTCTGGCACATTTTCCTTTCATTTCCAGTCTCTGATGTTGTTTTACTATTTGAGGGTTAATAGAATAACACGTCCAAGTCTCTCTGTGTAACTTCCCAGAAAATGCAGTGTTTATCCCGGAGCTCTTTACAGGGAAATTCCCGAAGTGCTAATATCCAGCTCTGCTGACCACTTGATGGAAGTTCACGAGGAGCATTCCACAGAAGGAAAACAGAGTGATGTCAGATGCCACCTTGTGGTTACATTGCACTGACTGGAATGTAAATACATTGGAATGTGAGTTCTGGTAAATGTAGAAAACTCTGATCAATACAGGATATGAGGCAGTGCTACAACCTGACCTTGTGTGCTCTTACAGGTAAGTATTACCACAGTATACTGACATAGAAACATCAGGCCTTCCAAAACTGATGTGGACTCAATCACCCCTGCATCTCTTTAGGTGGCAAGACTCTGCTGTCATTCCCTTAAAAGTTAATGACAAGATCCAGCAGGAGTAAACCCCCATGATGGGCACATTATAAGGGTAGAACTGGGAATCCAAGTGGAGAGACCACATTGCTGAGGAATTCAGAGACAATTACAGATATCTGATGCAACCTGCTGCAGAAAACAAATATGTGACCAAACCCTCTAAAAGAAAGAAAGCTAATTATTAAACAGGTACAAATGGAATGACATGTGACTGATTCTATCAGATTTATCAAAGGATAGCACACATGATATGCGTGATCAACTCCTATCACTGTACGGATGGATATGGTGTTTGTCACCAACTAATATTTGTTTTCCTAACATCACTACAAATGAGCTACATGGATGAAATACATAGGTGGCTTTGTTTTGTAAACCTTCTCCATATGTACCAGACTTCGTGCCAAAGCAAGTGAAAAGGTTCCACTTCAGTACTATTTTTTTTATTCACGTCAAACAGCAGGCAGATTTTCCTGTAGAATCTAACAAAACTCTTAGTTCTTCTTGTTTATCTGAAAGTAAGTCAAGGCAGCAGAATCATTCTGTAGATGAATCCTCAGTATTTGTATTTTCCATTTGAAATGTATATCTGGGGTTGGGTTGATACGGGAAGTCAGAGCAAGAAAGGGAAGGTGCATTTTGGAGTCTCGTGTGGCTCTGGACTTCTTTTTAAGGTTTGAATCTTACAAATCTGAATTCAGGAGTGAAGAGACTAAATAAAAAGCCTGAATGTTAGTTGTAATACGTATAAGGTCATGTGTGCTTTCACGCAAGTTTTGCATCTCCATACAAGTTGATTTAAATGCAAAATCCTCTTGAAGGAGGTCAATTTCAGGCCAGATACACAACATTCTGAAAGATATCAAGCATATTAAGCTGATGTCATCAACACAAGCCCTCAGTTACATGGCATTAAAGATATCACCCCATGGATATGTGTCTTGTACAATAGCTGTGGTTTCTAGGGTAGTGATGACCACAATGTTAAACTGCATACCTTGCCTCCTGTTTCTCTTTTCCCTGGAGGATAACTAAGATATACTGAAACAGAGCTGGGTGCTGCCACTGCAATGCTGGATACCTGGCAGTTCTGGTCATTCACTAACTTCAGTATGTTCTGAGCCACACAATAGTCACAAGTCTCTCATCTGTATTCTTGTTCTGAGTCACTAAATCAAAGTATTGAAGAAATAATAATAACAAAGAGAAGGACCGGCAGGCTGGGAGGGCCAAGTGATGAGAAGGACCGGCAGGCTGGGAGAGCCAAGTGATGAGAAGGACCGGCAGGCTGGGAGAGCCAAGTGATGAGAAGGACCGGCAGGCTGGGAGAGCCAAGTGATGAGAAGGACCGGCAGGCTGGGAGAGCCAAGTGATGAGAAGGACCGGCAGGCTGGGAGAGCCAAGTGATGAGAAGGACCGGCAGGCTGGGAGAGCCAAGTGATGAGAAGGACCGGCAGGCTGGGAGAGCCAAGTGATGAGAAGGACCGGCAGGCTGGGAGAGCCAAGTGATGAGAAGGACCGGCAGGCTGGGAGAGCCAAGTGATGAGAAGGACCGGCAGGCTGGGAGAGCCAAGTGATGAGAAGGACCGGCAGGCTGGGAGAGCCAAGTGATGAGAAGGACCGGCAGGCTGGGAGAGCCAAGTGATGAGAAGGACCGGCAGGCTGGGAGAGCCAAGTGATGAGAAGGACCGGCAGGCTGGGAGAGCCAAGTGATGAGAAGGACCGGCAGGCTGGGAGA